AAAACAGGAGGCAGAACTGTAAAAGTAGCACATGGAAATAAAAACAAACTTGTGAGAAAATAATTTTTTTTATTAATTTAAGAGACACAAACTCATCTACAAGTAAAAGGAAAAACAAAAAGGATATTTTTATACTTTCAAATGTATAAAACAAAAAAACATCAGTCAAGAGCAAATATTCTATAATAAATACCTGAAAAGTTTTCTTTACCTACTTTGTGTTTGTTTGATTTTCAGGAGTGTGCTCAGTATTTCCTTGAAGTCAAGGATAAAGACATTAAACACGCTTTAGCTGGCCTTTTTGTTGAGATCCTCATCCCTGTTGCAGCTGTGAGTAACAACCACACGTTTGTTGTGTTCTCCTGTTTTCTTTACCTGAAAGTTTCATGTTACTGGTTTTATGTGTTGTTTTTCTCAGGCAGTGAAAAATGAAGTCAACGTGCCGTGCCTGAAAACGTTTGTGGAGATGCTCTACCAGACAACATTTGATCTTAGCTCCAGAAAGAAACACTCTTTGGTAATCATGAACAACACATCAGTGTATTTTAGATTTTAGTTAATTATGTGTAAAATAAAATGAATATTAGAAGAATTCAGATGTGATTAACGAACCACTTGAACTCCCTTTGTTTTTGTTTTCTGCCTCTGATGCTGTTTATCCAGGCTCTTTATCCTCTGGTAACGTGTTTGCTGTGTGTCAGTCAGAAGCAGTTCTTTCTCAACAACTGGCACATCTTCCTGCAGAACTGCCTCTCACATCTAAAGGTACAAACACAACTTTTACACCCACAAAACAGGCTCTGTGCCCTTTAAAAAATGCAATGTTTCACATAGATTTAATATTTTGATCAGTTTATTTGAACACATTATTATTTTGATGTTTGCAAAGGCAGTAAAAAAGTGACCTTAATAATTTTTTTTTATTTAAACTGTGAAATTCAGTAAAATAATTCTGTCACAGTTAATGGATTATTGCTTCAAAATATGTTTTGTTTTTCTGTCTGATATCCATTTTGTACTCACCCCTTGATTTTCAACACAAAAGATCTGGACAATAGCACTTGATTTAATCAGGAAAAAAATGTGAAAACAAATCTTTAAATTATGCTCAGACCTGAGAGAAATTAAAACAGTAAAAATGATGAAGTTACACAAAGTTTTTTCCATTCATCTCATCTCAAGTGCTGTTTTCTCTCTGGTCTATTATTGACTCCTTGTAAACCAATTACAGCAGATCAAGCCTCTCTTCCTTGTGTTCCTGACCTGCCAAGCCACACACTGACTGACCAAATCACTGACTGACACTAAATCATCTCTTTTCATGAAGCACTGATTGCTTCTTCTCCATACCATTTATAACCCTTTGCTGGAATCATTTGAGTTGTGATGATTTTTTATCTGAGTAAATCTGTTGCAGCTTTCTCTCTATGGATGAACTGTATTTGAAATTAGAAACTGAAGGTTAATCATTTTCTCTGAAGGGATTCTGTGGCTCTGACTGACTGAGATTGAAGTGATGATTTTGGGACTCTTCAGTCATTTTAACTTTGTGGGTGCCGTTTGAAAGCTCAATTCTAAGAGCTATAATCTACATATTACATCTGTGGAACATTGAAATTAAATAGGGGCAGACATTATAAGATTTTTTTCTTCTTTCTGCTGCCTTTCATTTTTATTTGATATGTATTTTTTATGTGAATTTGTTTTTAAATTAAATGAAGAAATATTGTATAATTTACTTTAGTACAAATTAGAGCAAGGGTCTGTAACCTTTATAATCAAAAGAGCCATTTCTGCTCCCCGGCTCGCTAATAAAATGTGCCCAGAGCCGCAAAATAAGCTACAACTGTGATTATCAACTGGTGGTCCGTGGGCCTTTTCGAGGCCTTTTCGTGAACCTTTATGGCCAGTGGAGGTGACATAAACCTACCTAAAAATATGTTGTGAATTTTATTATGTATTATTATTTTTACACTTCAAGACTGAAAATAAACATAATTCATGCACAAGAAAAATACTGGCTATAGTTTATACAGGATTTCATAAAAACTAGTTCAGCTGAACTAGTCAGACATTTTTTTCTAATTCTTATTATGTAGTCCTAAAGGTGTTTAAAGCTAACCATGATGGATTTGAGAGAAAGATTATAGAAAGAAGTTGGATTATTTAGGTAGAAAACA